ATATGAACATTTCATTTTAAAGTGTGCTGGATTTTTAAAAATGTAATTGCAGCAGATGTTTCTCTGGGTTTTCTTTTTCTTTCTGGCACTCTTAAGTTTTTCTCTCTCTTCTGTTGTCTTCTTCTTTTCTTTCTGCCTCCTGAGCAGGTACATGAAAGGGAAATCCTTGTATAGTCAAATGTTTGTTTTACTGTCTAAAGCTTGCAAAGGGCCCTTAGCGGAGGCTGATTTCTTCTTGAAGAGCTGTAATTATTCATAGAAAGGGAGGGGAAGGAGTCTTTGTCACTAATAGGCTTCTGGGTGCTTCTTGAAATGGTCTTTTATGATTCCTTTCTACAAAATTTTCTACTGATGAGGCTTTCTTTTTTTTTAAAAAAAAACTCTCTTGCAAGTGATAAAGGGTAATTGTCCTATCTTGAGTACTCTGATGCTGTTATGCTCATGTGCTTCAAAGGAGGATGCAGAAAATGATGTTATTGATGGTATTGCCATGACAACAGTCCTTTAGAATAAACATTCTGGCATTGTTATTCCAGACACACAAATGGGGGGGGGGGCGGCAGGAGAGCAGCTTTCTTTTAAGCACAAACAGATTGTGCCCCTTCAAAATACACTCATGAACTTTGCTTTTCTGAAGATCTACTGACTGGTTTAGAGCAGAAAGGATTCTGGAATCTTTTACCTTCTGTGTACACCACATTGTGATATAAAGTGGTAAATCTCTGGAGGTGGTGGTGGCAGCCAGCAATTTGAAGAGACACAAAATGACTGAAAAACATAAACATTTCCTTTTTTAAAAAAAAGGGCAGCAAAGAAACCTGGGGGGGAAATGAAAACTGGTGACTGCACCACTGAATTATCAGTCATGAGACACAGTAGATAGGAGACCCAGTCTTTCTGATTTGGTTTTTTTGTGTTTTTTTGTTTGTTTGTTTGTTTGTTTAGCATGCAGTTGGACACAAAATATCCATTTTGGGGAGAAATTGTGCTGTTGGAAAATGGTAGCTGTGCAGTTAGAGAAACAGAGATTTTATTTATTTTATTTTTAAAAAATATTTTATCCCACCTTGCTCTTTAAAAAGGATCCTAGGCAGCTTACATCATTAAAGGACAATATTTAAAAACTAACAACAGTAAGTATACAAATATTTAAAAATACTTAAACAAATACTGTATTATATTAAAAACAGTAAATAAAACCAGTACTAAAACCACATTTAAAAGCATCAAGTGACAGCAGTCTATTTAAAACCGCTCAGAGTGGTCATATAGACCAGATGAGCAGGATACAAATTAGATCAAATCAATCAATCAATCAATCAATAAAAATCCCTCTCAGACAGCCATTCACTCAGGGAAAGTCTGCCCGAAGCGAATCGTGGCTACAGAAGCACAGAATCCCGCAATCATAAACTGAAGGTTTTCTAAAGAATTTAATTACATTATATGAACTAAAGGCAGGCAGCAATCAACCATAACACAGCCAGTCATACCTTGTTCACATCCTTAGACCTCAGCAGCTTGAAACTCACGTAATAAAAAATGGATTGTGATAATGTTCTGGGCACCTCCACAGATAAAATTGCTTTTGGTGTTTAAGTTATGACAATCAAGATGATTCTACTTTCCACATATCTTGATTGATTGATTGATTGATTGATTGATTGATTGATTGATTGATTGATTGATTGATTGATTGATTGATTGATTCTATTTATACCCCGCCTATCTGGTCATATTGATCATTCTTGATGACTTGTCACAATGAGTTATTGAGGGTCCACAATATCTCACCTTGCTCAGAATATAGCCAGTCCTTAACCACCTGGAAAAGCTTCACTGAATGACACTACATTTAGTGGAAAAGATCTCTGCTCACTACTATTAATGTTACACAGCTTGATAGTGAACTCTACTCCATGTTTGATTGGACTCTGTGTGAATCTCCTGCTACCTTCACATAAACCATCTCCTAAGTTGTTTATTTGCCTGTAGCTGAGACACGTACAAAGGAGCTGTATGAGTTCTACTTAGAGAGAGGTGGCACATAGGCATAGTGCTATCAACCATTCAAGTTGTTTCTAGATCCTCCAGAACAACTATAGCTCTAACTGTGTTAGAGAGTATAAGATAAGATTAAATGAATGGAATATATTGTAATAAATCACTCTGGTTGCAACAGATCGAAAAATAGAAAAATACAAAAAAATATTTTTTTAAAAAAAAGAAAGTGAGGAGGAATTAAAGAACCTCGTAATAAGGGTGAAAGAGGAGCACGCCAAAAATGGTCTGAAGCTCAACATAAAAAAAATCAAGATCATGGCCACTGGTCCCATCACCTCCTGGCAAATAGAAAGGGAAGATATGGAGGCAGTGACAGATTTTACTTTCTTGGGCTCCATGATCACTACAGATGGGAACAGGAGCCATGAAATTAAAAGACACCTGCCTCTTGGGAGGAAAGTGATGACAAACATAGACAGCATCTTAAAAAGCAGAGACATCACCTTCAACAAACATCTGCATAGTCAAAACTATGTTTTTTCCTGTAGTGATGTACGGAAGTGAGAGCTGGACCATAAAGAAAGCTGATTGCCAAAGAATTGATGTTTTTGAATTGTGCTGCTGGACGAGACTCTTGAGAGTCCCCTGGACTGCACTGAGAACAGACCAAATCCATTCTAAAGGAAATCACACCAGATTGCTCACTGGAAGGACAGATCCTGAAGCTGAGGCTCCAATACTTTGGCCATCTCATGAGAAGAGAAGACTCCCTGGAAAAGACCTGATGTTAAGAAAGTGTGAGGGCAAGAGGCAAAGGGGACGACAGAGGATGAGATTGTTGGACAGTGTCACTGAAGCTACCAACATGAATTTGACCCAATTCCGGGAGGCAGTGGAAGACAGGAGGGCCTGGCGTGCTCTGGTCCATGGGGTCACGAAGAGTCGGACACAACTAAACGACTAAACAGCAAATCCCACAAACTGCACCAGAGCACAGAGTTCTGGCTCCTGTCCTCTGAAGATGCCAGCCACAGAGACTGGCGAAACGTTAGGAAGAAAAACCTCAAGAACACAGTCAGATGGCCCGAAAAACTTACAACAACCAAACATCTTACTATCTGAGAGCCATTAATTTTCACTTGAATGTCTACGGTCTGTAGAGTAGAATATTTGTTTGTTTACTGTAGGTAGCAAGTTTAGCAACAAGACTGTTTTTTTCCCCCTGATTTCCTTCCTGTCTGTTAAATGTAACCTTCAGGCTTAGATTGCTGCACAAGTTCCATAAGCAGCTATTAGCATTTGTGATTCACATCAGGCCAGTTGCTTCCCAAAACTAAGAAGAAAACATTGATAGGGACTGTTTGCAGGTTAAAGAGTGAATGAGGCTGAACACCTACACTTGCATTTCCACAGGTTTATGGAAAAACTGCTATGAGTGCAGCCCATACGCCTGCAATTTAATGCCCATTTATTCTGGTATGATTGTTATGGAAATTTATGTCTTCACATCTTTGCTACTGAAAGTGCTCCTCAAGTTCTGTTCCCAGATAAGTTTTTTAAAAAGATATGTGCTCACTAATTTTATTTTTATAGACTTAACCATGTGTGTCATTTAAAAAGTGAACAGAAAGGGCAGTGCCCTGTACTTTAATTAATGTTTTGTTATCTTTCTAGTGCACAATGTACTGTTCATTTGGTGTAGTAAGTTTTGTTTCACCACCAAGTTCATCAAATGAGATTAAGAGATACTGTTGCAAGTATAAACTGGTAGCAATTGCCAGGCTTTTTTTTACTCTTTATGTTTGTAGAGTTACTATTATGGTTAGTACCATGGGAGCATTAAGGGACATTACTTGCATTAGTCGTTATAAACAGACTCCCATTGCATCATAGAGACTGCAGGAAAAAATATGTTCAGTATTTGTTATCTCATACATTTTCAAAGTCTAGAACTCCTGTATCCAATGAGGTGATATCCTAATATGGTAAAGCTATAAAAGGAGAAAGCAAAATAGAGTTGGCCAACAGGTGAAGAAGATACAATAATAGATGGACCACAGACAGAGCAAGAATAATTCTGTTAATCCAGGTCATAATGTACAACACAGTCCTTATAGGCAAATTAAAATAACAAGGAAGGTGGTATAATAATGGGAATGTTACAATGATGTATAAAATGGTGACTATGTTTTGATGAAATCAGTTACGTACTTACAACTTGTCAATGACAGCCAGTAAGCATGTTTCTAAAGCTAGCTAGGGATATTTTTTCCGTCAACACTAAAATGTAAGTGGATTTTGAATATCTTAAACTCTGCTTTTGGTATTTTCCCTGGCTGGGCATTTAGGATTTGATGGATTTGAAATGTTTTTAATGATGTTATTGAAATAATTTTTAGGCGTTAACAGTTTTGTAGTGTGTGGGTTCTTTTTTTTTTAATAAGTCACATTTGGAGGTGGAAGGGTATGGAAAAATTATTAACAAATGAAGAATAGTTTGTTTTTAAAGTGGTGAGCAAAACGTAGCTTTCGCAAATTGTAGTATGACTATCAATGAGAGATAGAAGCCCACAAGCTTGCTTGGTGAAAATGCTGCAAAATGATTATCTCCACATGGATGCCATTTGCTTTCTTCCCCTCCCCCCTTCTTTTGAGAGGGAGAAATGATTTTTTTCCCATACTAGCATTCTCTCTGAAGACATGGTTAATTTTCCATTCAAGATATTTAATATGTGATATTGCAAAGCTGCCATGAGCCTTCCAAACACTGTCTCCTCACACAGAAATGAATTTGATAGCAGTTATCTCTGGGAGTTCTCACTCAAGAAAAAGATTTGCAGGAATGAAACAGCTCAAATGCCAAAACTGGGGGGGGGGGGTAGTTTGTAATGCAAAATGTGATAATGAACCTTCATGATTGCTGTGAGTTGATTGCAATTTGGATTGTTTTCAGAAATTGTGCATTTTTCTCTCTCTCTCTCTTTCTCTTTCTCCAGAGGGTATGAACTGTATGAACAAAGATCATGGGTGCGCACATATCTGCCGGGAGACACCCAAAGGTGGGGTTGCCTGTGAATGTAGGCCTGGCTTTGAACTTGCCAAAAACCAGAAGGACTGCAAATGTAGGTAGATGCAGACAAATCTCAAATACCCAGCATGTTTTTGTCCATATTGCTTTTGTTTTTTGTAAAATAAATAAATAAATCAAGAAATCAATTTGATTTTATTGACCTGAGGTCGTTGAGTATTTTTCCCCTTGAAAGCAGAGAAGTAAGAGCTAAACGACAGGTTACCAGTATATGTTACAAACAGGGGAATGATATAAAATGAGAAGCTGTACATTTCTGAACAGATAGTTAGGAAACTTTGGATCCATATCTTAAAATTGTAGGCCAGCCTTAACTATGATGTTCAACTGAACCCATTGAAATAGAAGCAGTTTAGGATTTGATTTTAATACATAGAATTGAATGAACTCCAGTAATGAAAGGTAGTGTATCATGTGGATGCAAAACATCCCACCCTGAATTTTGCAACAAGATTTATATAGATGCTGCAACAGATTTCATTTAAAACAGTCCATCCCTGATCCTGGTCCTATTTATCTGCTACTTTTACAATCACTTTTGCTGTTATTGCAGCCTTTTCAAAGGTTCAAATTAGTTCTCTCAGATATACACATTGTGTTCAGCATTGGGCAACTTAATGTGAATTATTGTTCAGATGCCCAGCATGGAATTCATAAAGATATAATGGATTGGGCCTTGACCAGAGTAGTTGCCTTCAGCATGTCTTTAAGCCAGTGAGGCATCTACTCTGTTTCATGCAGGTGCAGACTTTATGGTTGGCACCACTGGAGTTGTCTAAATGGCTGTGTGAAGGCCTACAAGACTTTGAGATGGTGAACATATCTGAATGTTATGATTCAAATGCCTGTCTATGTTGCTGACTTTTATATGTTTTAAATACCCTTTAAATTAGAGTGGTTGGTTAAAAGAATTTTAGAACAAAGAGTCAATTGGGTGTTTGTGAACATGCCACAATGTCGCAATAGTTTAATCCAGCCAGGGGGAGGATTCAACTGTCAGCAGACTGCCAAATTTTATCTTATAGGTTTTAGAGGAATGGAAGAAATAAAAACAAACCTAAGTAAAATGTTTATAAAACAAAAACATGTATTTTTCTAGCTTTGGCATCTCAAGGACTGCGGAAATCCTCTCTGGACTGTTTTGGGATGTGAAAAAATGCTACAGTCTCTTTTGATCTGATACTGGCCATTGCTTTCATTGAATCATGAATGTACCAAATATATCTCAGTTCTGAGTGACATTGATAAAAATGTGTATTGCAGTTTTGTAAGAATGTTGGGTTATTTGCTAAGGACTTCTCTAACTCCTCAAAAAGCTGCAACATCCATAGTTCCTTGACAGACCTGACCTGAAAACAGAACATGGCAACAGTACCCTGAAGTAGCTACTAGACTAGTAATATGAGAAGGACTCCCTGCCTTAAGCCTTCACATTGTGGGAATGCAGAGGTTATGAGTTTTCACTTTAAATTTGTGTCAGACACTGCCAGAAGTTGAAAAGGAATCTCTAAGTTATCATTAGAGTCGTGCTAGGTGAGCTTGGTCATAGAGAGTGCACTAGACCAGCGGTCCCAAACCTTTCTAGCCCTGCGGACTGGCTGTGGAAGGCGGGGCACCCCCCTGCGCTCGTGCACATGCGTGAAGGAGCACACTCTCATGCGCATGCTAAAAGAGCAGCACAGCGCTCATGTGGGTGTGTGCTTAATTGCACGCAGGCACAAACAGGCTGTGCGGGGGGGGAGTGTGTCCGGGGGGGAGGTCTCTCTCCCCGGCCCAGTCCGGCTCAGGCCACAGACCAGCACCAGGCCGCAGACCGGAGGTTGGAGACTTCTGCGCTAGACAATACCCTCAAAGCTAGAGGTTAAATAATTCCTGTTCCCGAGGAATAGGAAATTACTTAAACTAGTTCAGACACACATACATACATTATTGGGGATCACAGATAATACCCAGGCTCAGTAAACAAAAAATACTTCTATTGGGCGTCTATTGCCTCACCATGTGAACAGCAAGTGTTAGCCTGCTCTGCTCCTCCCACAGAATCAAAGAGATGGAATAATGGTGAGGATAGCATCATTTTCCATAACTCTTGAATTCTCTTTCCCTTGATTAGCCTAGCAAGTTTCTGTTTTTAAAGCCAGAGTTAAAAGCTGATATTTTATTTTAAAATAAAATATTTTCCTCACTCCCAAAGAAAACCTCTCCAGAGTTTCCTTCCTTCCCTGCAGCAGATCCTCTGCAATTCAGCCAGCCAGTTATGAAACAAACTCTCTTTGTACTTAAATTATTTATTTTTCCTGCATGGGAACTTTGTGGACTGGCAGGTATTAGGAAAGAAGATGTTCTCATCAGTTGAGGGTCATAGGTCTGGCATCAATGATTCTTTGGCAGCTTATGGGAAGCTGTGGGAAGAGGATGGTGCTGGGAAAGAAGAGAATGTGAGACTTCATGAAGGAAACATCTTTAATCGTAGAGAGGGAAACAAACTGAGCACTACTGGAGACCAAAAATTGAGTGGCTACCCCCCTTCCCAGTGAGATCTGCAGCATCCCCAGAAGGGTATGAAAAAGGAAGGAAAGTCTTTGTGGTTCTAGAGAACAATCTCAAAAATCTATCCTAATTTTTCAAATGGTTTTAGCTGCAGTAATTAAATGTCCATCCCTCAGCATATCATTACTTAATAAGGTCGAAGAATTTCTCTCACACACTGAACTCTTAGAGCCAATGAATAGTATGTTTTAATTGTGAAAGTGATATTTCATACAGTATTTCTTCTTCCCCCATATGTCTGAAAAAGTAGAGTTATCCATGAAACCTCACATTAAAATATAATAGTTCGTCTTTAAGGTGCCATATGTTTTTGGCTTGTTTTGTTTTGCTTTTATTTGTTTGGATTTTGCCTGATATTTCTCACACATGTTGATTAGTGAGTCTGTTAAAGATTACCTAATACTGAAATTATAGGGTAGAAAGTAAACTACACATGAAAATATGAATGTTATAATACATGTAAAGTCCTACAAAGTCAATATTTAAATTTTGCCAGCTTTTGGATTTGAAGTTGCTCTGCAGATGTCAAAGCTTTAAGCCTCCCCTACTTTAAAAGCAGGGGATGTGGTGGCGCTGCGGGTTAAACCACAGAAGCCTCTGTGCTGCAAGGTCAGAAGGAAGACCAGCAGTTGTAAGATCAAATCTACGCGACTGAGTGAGCTCCCGTCGCTTGTCCCAGCTCCTGCCAACCTAGCAGTTCAAAAACATGTAGAAATGCAAGTAAGATAAATAGCTATCACCATGGTGGGAAGATAACGGTGTTCCATGTCTAGTCACGCTGGCCACGTGAACATGGAAACTGTCTACGGACAAACCAATGGCTCTATGCCTTGGAAATGGGGATGAGCGCTGCCCCGTAGAGTCAGACACAATTGGACTAAATGTCAAGGGGAACCTTTACCTTACTTTCAAAGCAAAGCACAATGTGCTGCTTATATACTTCCCCATAGCGCTATACTTCCCCATATGGGAAAAGCACTTTAGCAGGTTATATCACAAAATGAAAGCAAAATCCATATGAAAACATGTATTGTACCATATTTAGAAACTGATATTTTTTTAAAAAAATATTCATCTTTCTTTTAAAAATTGGCTATATACATTGCACCATATTTTTCCAAAAAAATTGTTCATCTTTCTTTTAAAAATTGGCTATATATTGGAGAACATTTGCTACCACGTTTTCAATAGCCCTGCAGGAATATAAATGATCAAAATATAGGTCTAATAAACTAAATAATGTCATGGAAATTTCAAAATGTGACAAAGATGACTAAATTCTTAAACATGACTTCTTGAATGCATACACATATTTTAAAATGTTCATCTTATTTCAGGTTTAGAAAGATGTGCTTTTTAAGACCACTGTCGAAATTAATTCAGGAATCTTGACAAAACTTGAAATTAGTCTGGCTTTAACAATAGCTACATGTCTAAAATATGCAAGACTATTTCAATGCAAGAAATTGGGCCCAAATTATGAAATAAGGAAATGCCTTTACTAAAACTGTTGTTATAACCTTGACTCTACCTCCGCAGTATGCTCACATTCAGCTACACTCTTTATAATCTGGCCTTCATAAGTTATAATTGAAGCCACTGTCTGGAAATGCTTTGTATGGTGACATAAATTATTTTAAAAATCCACTGGATAATATTTGCAAAGAAGAAGTGTTCCACCCATCAGTTTCATCTGAGAAAATTTGATAAACAATTGCAAGGAAGATAGAGAATTATTCTATTAATTGACTATAAGATTTACAGATCTTATCCCTGACAAGCCTCTCATTTTTAAAATAGCAAGATTTTTGAGATTTTTTCACAGGTGAGGTTCTTCCACTATAATGATGGAGAAACTATACCTACAAAACACTATAAAATGTGAAATCCAGTAATTCTGCACTATTTTACTCAAGATACTGATGCTAATAGATATGGCAGATACAATACTGGATAATACATTCTAATTTGTTGGCTTGTCAGATGAGAAAAGGAGACTGTCTTAAAGCAGTTAGCTGGGCAGTGATTTGAATCTCAGTTTCCTGCCACAGGATCCAGAAGTAGATTATACACACTGTCCCAACGTTAGCACTCTTCTGCAGCCATTGGAGAATTGTGCAAAGTAGAACAATTGTATCTCTAGACTTCATCATGTGGCCAGAGGCAAAGATAATGGCTAGCCTCCCAAGACAGGAAAAATAACGGCACATTTTAAGATGTTATTGCTTGATACCTCCTTCTCCTCAGAAACTAATATGGGTGAGAGAGATAGGATGGTAGAGTGTGTAGAGTGCCGATTCGTGACCAAATGGCATCCCTTGAATAAGTCACTTGGATAAGTCTCAGCCTTATCCACAGAGTTTTTGTAACTATAATATCATATAATGGAGGTGATAGCAAACTTTGTGAAAGCTGCATTTTGAATGCAATTAGAAGAACCATTTACTTACTTTTCAGATTATTTTACACCATCTAGTCCCCAGAAATTGATGGCCTGAACTGTGCTCTTGGGGGCCTCTAAATCCTTGCAAGTAGTGTTGACAACAACTTCCCTGCATCCCTGGATATGCCATACATGCATGGCAGCATCCATGGTTTCAGTTCCTAATTGCTAGGAATGATACCATACCCATGCATACTATAAGAAATTAGAAGGGCACAGTTGAAAAGTGCAACTGAACTATGATGCTGAGGACTAAGAAATCTAAGACTTCTTGCACAATGATTATATCCCTCTTGTGCAACAGTTCCCAAGAGCCTAATCCAATCTCCTACATTAATTATCCAGGATATTAAATTCCAGATTATTATGAGATCTGGAGGATTTGGCCCATCCTTGATATAATTCCATTGGCACTTCCTTGTCTTCCTTAAAAAGATGGGATGCAAGTAGAGCAGGTGTGAAGGGTTTTCTCTGGGAGTAACTTTGAAAAAAAGACATTTAAGTGGCTACATTTCATTTTTTTTAAAGTACAGTACAGAATAGGAGTGAGCCTGTATCATCCTGGTATTTCTTCGCTTCTGAGTGCTTGAAGTTATGCTGTTGTGATAATCTCATTTTGCTTTTTGGCACAGTGCATATCTATGTGGGGTTTAAATGCATATATTGCAATATGCCCAACATTTAGTAAAGGAATATTTACATGATGATGTAGCAGTGTTCAGTATTATGGTCGTGACACTTTGCATCCAGAAACACATCAATTAATATTGACAAGTCATCTCAATACAGAGATGAGTCATCCCAATACATTGAATGGTTTGGATCCAAAAAAGACAAAACAGGCATTCATTCATCCAAGATGGCCAGCATTCACTGACACTGACATCAGTTTGTAATGGCAAACTTGGGTAGCAAGGGATAGAACCAACATTGCCAAAAATGAAAAATAAGGGGAGTGTTGGGATGCTTGAGGGAACCTTGAATTTTGCTGAAATGCAACAGTTTTAAAATAGACACTATCAACAATGTAAGCTTTGCTTTAGTTTTAAGAGGTTAAAAAGGAATGTGAAAACAGCTCTGTAACGACTGAGCAGGGTCAGCGGCTTTGGAATGTTGAGGGTCAGTTAGAGAAAAATGGGAGAAATCTTCAAGAGGGGAAGGATTTTGGGCACTCAGTGTAAAACAGATAAACCTTATCTAAACAATTCTTTTCTTGTCAATTTAATAGTAAGGTTTAAAACAGATACTGTATGTTTAATGGTGGAATACTGAGACCAATTCCTTATCATGAATAGGGCTGTCATATGAAACCAGCTTTGATTTTTCAAAACAATTTTAGATGTTGTAAGTATTTACCATATACTGTCCAGTATAGCACATCTCCCAAGTGTTCACTTTGCCATATTCACTTTAACTGAATAAAACTGAACTCCCTTAAAGTAGTTTGACTTTTCTCTTATCATGGATATGGGGATGCAGCTTAGTCTAAACACTTCTAGTGAAGTTTGTGTTCAGGTGAAGCTAGAATCACCTGATGGCATTATTATTATTATTGGCATAATAAGACATTATTATTATTATTATTATTATTATTATTATTATTGCTCTTGTCATGATATTTGCATATGGAGCTACCACAAGGAACCTTCTCTTGAGGTTGTCCAGCTTACATGAGTAGGAAAAAATCTGTAGATATACTGCCTCAAAAACAACAGCTTTAGAACTGCAGAGCTGGAAGGGACCCTATGGATCACTGCGTCCAGCCTCTGTCAAGGAGGCACAGTGGGGAATTGAACTCCCACCATCTGGCCCCGCAGTCAGTGACCTAAGCCACTGAGCTACCTAGTAATTCCTGTTCACCCAAAGTAGAGAGTCGCTAAATAGCCATAGTTTAAAACCATAAAATGTTTAAAAGAAGGGCTATGTGGAAGATGTTAAGCTCAGGCGTCATTCTTTCTTTTTAAATGTTTTACTATTCTGAAGATCTAAGGATAAAAAATAGGTTCAGAATTTGGCTTTTTAAAATATATATATTAAATGTGAAAATGTGAATTTCCAGCATAGCTGGAAAGAACAACACCCTACCCACAGGAAAACATATTTCTTATTAATAATGGATGTTACTCATGTAAATAAGTAGAAGAAAAACAATCCTACATTCTATAATTAGAGTATAGGTGATATAATAGCACAGAGCAAAATATATGTTGTGGTAGGAGTCTACTGACGTTCCTCTGACACAATACACATCTATAATGCATTCAAGGCTTTTCTTTTTTTATACAAGGAATCTGTGTATAAGAAAAGCAGTCCATAACTAAGATATCTAGGAATGTAGTCTGGAATCCTGTCTCCATAAGATTTGATCCTAGGATACAGGGAGGAATATAAACGTCTTACATTTGCAGATTTTGTTGTGGCTAATTGCAGCTAATTAATGAAGTGCTGGTGCATCTCTTGTTTATGCAATTCGGCATGTGACCAAGATATGCTTTGGTACTTAAGACAGATAAATACAATTAGCCGTGACAAATTACACAAACTTTATAGGAACAACAAGAGTATTCCAGCCTTAGATTTGTATGCAATGGTGGGATGTCCACTTTACTCACAGACATTCATTCACAGGGTTTTAGGAAGGCTGGTGTCTGGTGCAGCTTGTGGTTTGTGGTTTTGCAACATAGATTGCATGTTTGCAGTGATGCTTGCCTTCCTGCTTACATAATAAAGGAACAAGAAAAACTAAACTAATACAAATGTTCTGTTGTAGGCTGACATTAGATTTAGCTTGAAGAGGGTGGATGATTTATTTGTAATCAATATTAGCTGCTGATATATATATATAGGAAGCTGTGTAACCTGAATCTTGAACATGTGGCAATCCAGAATGAGAAGGAGCAGGGGAATGGCCACAATTCCAGTCCTTGCACCACTATTTATATGGGGCCAAACTGTGAGCATACGCACAGGAAATTGTCTCCTTAAAATATTACTGTCCAACAAGATAAGACATTTTAAAAACAACAGTGTTGATATTAATACGTATAGTTATCTTGCCATACACACTGCCTTTTAAAAATTTCCATTTCTTATATGCACCTAGAACTCACCCATCCTGAAACTAATTAGTTTCATTGTTGTTTTATTCATACATATGTATATGCACATATTTTTTTGGAAATAACTAGTAACCTGTAACTATGGAAATGGAGGCTGCCAACACACCTGTGATGACACAGATACTGGTCCCGTATGCGGTTGTCATCAGAAGTATGCCCTGCACTCAGATGGTCGAACATGTATTGGTAAGTACCATTCTAAACAGTGTGTGCGTGCATTCATGCATGTGTGTGCGTGTGAAACTGAAATATTGTCTGAAAGATTATATGATAAACTCTTCATTTTATTTGAGAAGATTGGGTGTTTTAATATCAGGGAAGCAGTACTTAAAACGTTTAACATTTGTTCAAAGGTTGTTACTCTTTTATGACTTCTTATTTGTATTTTTGTGCATAGTGTTCTACATTGTTACCAATATAGTACATTGGAAAATACATTAGACCTCTGTTTCTATGCCTGTTTATTAAATACAAGAGTAAGAATACAGGGTATTCATGTACAAGTAAAACTAACCAACAGTATATGAATATTCTGCTACCCATTCTGTTATGCTTTACCTATTTTAAGAATTATTTTGGAATTAAATGATTCTTATTGTGATAGGAGGTTTCAGAAATTGATTCGCTCAGGGAAAGTGCTAACAAGAATAATTTCTGCTATGTTTAAATATATTTTATTTCATAGGGGTACCCTTTATCACAACCATGCGGTCAGAATTGAACATCTTAGCCGATTTGTGACAGTGCTATCTTCACAGATTTTTGGGTTTTACTCAAATTAGGTTTTGATTTATGGGCCACCCATAGATTAAGATGAGGGGGTGCCTCACTTCAACATTTCAGAGGGCCCACTTTCAACCCCAGGCCCAGCCATGAATTCTTTGGTTTGATTACGTTCACTCAAAATGTGAGGCATGCACAACAGTTTACTATGCATAGTGGTAATATATCTCATTTCATGATTAGGCACACTGCAACATGTACCAGAAAAAACACTTCGGTTATCCTGTGAAGTTTATCTGCTTGTTTTAATCAAAAATCTTGAAAAGAGTTCATTTTTAAAAAAGAAAACATTCTGTTGTGTATGCCAACGAAGCAGTTGTTTAAACTAGTTTATAATATATTCATAGCAAAATGAATATAGTAAATGCTAATTGTTTTAAACTCCATCATGAGAACTTGATGCCTAGATTTCTGAGCAGAGTGAGACATGGCATTCAAATTTTGGAAAGAAATCACTTGATAGGCAGGCACCAAAGCATACAGCAGTTGTGAATGACGTCCAGGAAGAGCTATAATTTTATAGAAGGAATGTTTCTGACATGGAATAGTCATTTGAACAATTTTAATCATAATTTTAAGAATTCAAAAGAGTAGAATATTTTCTCTAAAGGTGGCCTCTTGTCTAGACTTTATTGTTGTTGCAAGCATAGAAAAAATAGCACTGCCCTCTCTTTTAAGTTTGCAGTTGGTTCAGGTTAAAGAGATACATTAAATTCACTCCAGATTTTACACCAAAATATGAAAACATTTTAAAAACCTAGCCACAGTTAGTCTCATTGAAGCCTATTGAGTTCGCCAGCTTAATTTTGCACTTAAAGTCAGTGGACTTAAAATGCACACTTTTGGTGAATCATAGCAATTGATGTTTTGATCAGTTTAAAGGCAGAGAAATTAAACAATGTGAAATATACTTAAAGGACATGATCCTACAAAAAAATAAGCACCTTTATGTGTTTATTTCAGTGGAAGAATGAAGTATGTTTTCAAATATTAAAAGTTAAATCTAATTTTATTTGGATTGTGCTTATATTTGCTTGGTGTCTGTTTGCATGCCATTATCTTTGCATTCCTGATAGTGCAAAAACACAAACATTCATCTAGCCAAGTTAAGCCAAGTTCTTGTTGGATGAGTTAGTCACATATTTATCTTTTCCCATGAATATTAATTAAATTTAAAACTGTTTTGCTGGCTGCATTTTTCTCATAGTTTAGAATTAGTTTAGAATTAGTAAAATTTTTACTTGAAATTTAGAGAATTCTGATAGATAATATTGAAAGCATGTTTATGAATTTTTAAGTATATGATTTTATGGAAGTAAATAGTAGAAGATTTTATAGTGATTCCTAGAAGCCAACTTCACATTTAATTGTACAAAACAAAGAAGTTTGGTTGAATAATTCCAACAGATTTGATACAGTGAGAGTTAATATATAGTTTAAATAGCATTCATTTTTCCCTCTTTAATATTAAAATTGTGTGCATATCTATGTTGAAACTAAGGTACATTAACATCTAGGGATAAATGTCTAATTTTATCAAACTTATGCAGGGATGAGAAAAACTTACACTTTTGGACTACAACTCCCAGAATACCCCAACCTGTACAGCTGGTAGGAGTGTACCATTTGTGTGTTGTAATTTTGGGACTTCCAGCCCATAGACAGACACCTGCAAACAACCCCCCAGGAAACTCTGGGGTGGTTTTCTTTTGTGTACATTAGTAACAGGAAACGGGCCTCACAAATTTCTGAGGTAGGTCCTGTTCCAGGTGAGTGAAATATAGGTATCTGTCTGTGTACTAGAACTCCCAGAATTCTGCTTGAGGAATTCTTGAAGAAATTTGGAGAAAGGAAGGAAGGAAGGAAGGAAGGAAGGAAGGAAGGAAGGAAGGAAGGAAGGAAGGAAGAGTGAGTGGCACACCCCTAGCCATTGCTTGTGCTAGCAGGGATATTCTGTGTGAAGGCAGCTTATGTCCAGCACATGGATGAAACTCCTGAACATTTAGGGGATAAAGACCAACCCAACTTGGTTTATAAGTTGTTCTTGATTTTGATATGTTGTAATTTAAAAAGTAACTTTTCTGATCTCTGAGCCTGCATATGCCCTGAGTTCTATTGAACTAAAGCTATTAAGTGTCCTTTCAGCAAGCTTTGATTAAATGTGCATAGAGAGGGTTTGATCCTGGAATGGAAACTGTTCAGTTAGTCCCATTGTGAAGGGTACATTCAGTGTGAGCAGATGATGCTTCATGGATGAAATGAACAGACTTGGATTTAAGGATGAACCTTTTAGTCTTATTAAAAACAAATCCGATATTGATTATAATATACATGCTATAATGATGTTTGACTTCTTCTTGGGTTAGTTTTATTTTTACTTCATAATAGCTGAGTCTTATGGATTCCCACAGATCTATGCACATAGGAAACAGACCTGTCTATGTAAGATACCAGTCTAACCACAAAGGTTATGTAGAGATGTTCCAGGACAGGGGACCTGGATACTGTATATATATTTTTTCTGAGAGCTAAAAAAACAACTGCATCATCATGTTTACATTTTCCTGTCCTCTGATTTCAATATTATCCTTATTTGGCATTTAGTAACTGTTAACAGTTGAAAAAAATGCACTTTCTCCCCTCCATTTTTGCAATGATGCTATATAGTATAAATTTATGTTGCATTTTCTGTTTGCGTGATGCAAGACACATATTGCTGCTTGTGTTTTTACCCCTTCCTCCTTTTCCTTCTTCTGAATAGCTTTTTCTCCTAGATATTTTTTTAAAAAGTTTTGTTTTGTTTTCATTTTTATTCTTGCTTTCTGGTGATGGTTCCTGATTGCCTGTCTTGTCTGATACCTGATGTCCATTAATTTCTGGAAAAAAAACATTAAAAAGAAAAATGAAAACCCTCAAACCAAAGCCTCTATTGCAGCCTGATCTCATCTAGAACTTGGTTTTCTCTTAGAACAATGTCTTGTTACAACTCAACCATTTAGTGTTACCACAGATAAAACCTGCAGCTGCTTCCACTTCTTCTGATTTTCCTCTTATTTTTTTTCTTTCTCTCTACCTTTCATTTGTTATCTTCAGTGGTGTCAGTAATTTGGACATCACTGCAACGATGCAAATGTCTGCAATGGCACATTAGTACCTTTTTCCTAATCCATTTTGTCTTCGTTTTCTTGACTTACCCTCTTATTTTATGTCTGCTGCATGTGAAAAGTCCCCACTCGGGTTTATATTTTCTTCTTAATCACTCAGGCACTGCTTCCCATATTGCTTTTCCCCTTGTATGAAAACTTTTACTTACCCCATCATCTCTACCATCCTTGCAAATGGATTATTTTTAGCATATTTCTAAAATATTACATAATTTAACATCTTGTAATGCTGGAAAGGAGCTTTTCATTTATTGGGCATCAGATACTACCTGTAGGATGTCCTGCACTAATGCTTCCCCCCCCCCCCGTTTATTGCATGCTTCTTAAAATTACTAGCATATTCCTGCAACATCCTTTTTCTAGCATTGAATGTTTAGTTAGTCATATTCCATAGACAAGCAGGCAACCAGCACTGCCCAACTTAATTGTTTTGTTTTTAAATTTGTTTGTTTTGTTTGATATTTTAAATTTTTTAGAAATTTGCATGCTTTATTGTTTTTATATATACTGTGTCATCGTGCACAAAGCAATCACATACCCATGCTCATCCATCACCGGATTCTTCCAGCTTTCTTCTGTGTTCAGTGCTTTTGTTGCCAGCTGTGTTTAAAAGCTGGCATCTATTAGCCTCTGACACTTAGACTGACCTTTTTTTAACCATGTGTTGAACTTGAAACTTCATAAATTTAATTTCTTAATTAACACCAATCTGGGGCACCTTCTCTTTTGTGTTTGTGTTATTCCTAGCGTGAGACGACCAGCTTAATATGTGTTGGCTGGCTCATTACTTTGTTTCCTTGTCATTTTCTTCTGCCCACTTCCTCCATTCCTTCCCTCCCTCCTGCACACTTTGATTGATTTTCTGGGATTTCAAATGGAATTAACTCTCTAAATGGGGTTTTAGTGCTTTCATGCTTCTTGGCTTCGGTTGCACCAGGCCAAGAAACTGTCTTCAGCAGTGGAAAATTGGGCTTTTCATTAACCAACTGCTCCATGTTTGTCCCTTACTTGTGTTTTAGAGGAGGATGAGGCTGCAATTGAGAGTTCTGAGTTCAATGCCACGTCAGTAGCTGATGTGGACAAGCGGGTGAAACGGCGGCTACTTATGGGTAACACTTTTCTTCCACTTCCTTTGATGTGCTCTCAACTTTTGTCTCTGTGTGTATGGGGGTGGGTTGTTTCTCAATTATTTTGGTTCTTAATTTATTCATCTGTGTGCTGAGGTCACAATTTGTTTAGAATCCTGATCTTCCATCAAAATGTTCATTTCCAGTTTTAAATGTCTTCTCTCCCTACCAAGTCCCTCTAATACAGTAGCTTTAATGTCGAGCAAGCCTTTGGGGCAGAGAAGAAAATCTTTGCCATTGACCTTGCTTACCTGTTGCAAGCCTGCTTTTCCCATGTGATTTGTGTAATTCTCTCATATAGCTCATATAACTTCCTATGTTAACATGGTCTTTGAGTTTCTGGTTGGATGTAGATATTATGAAATGACTGGTGTCCTTTTTGTGTATGTTCAGTAGATATGCTTTTATTGTTCCTTTGGTTGAAATGTTTATACTCTAATATTTTCTCGATGTTTTGAAATTAGGGGAATAATTCCTGGCCACTCCCATTATTACTGAGTTCTTTTATATCTGTCTTCCAAAATAAAATAATAAAAAAGTTAAACAAATATGAAGGATAGGTACAGTACTTATTTTTAGTTATTATTTTGGTCATTTGAAATTGATAGGAGAAGAGGCAGTAGTAATATCTACACTCCAGATGTGGGCATTTCTAGGTAGAGCTTGATCTCAAATTAACATAACGGTATGTCTCTCAGCACCAAACATATTTGGTTGGAAACAGTGATCTAGGGTGTGAGGAATGTATTGCTGGTCTGGAATATCTTCGCCTAAAAACACATACCTTGAAGATAAAACATTAATTTAAGTTATAGATGTACTGTGTTGCTATTTAATGAAATGACTGGTTAACAATTCAGCTTAAATAACCATTGTTCCTCTTACTATTAATACAAAGAAAAGAGTCCCTTTTTGCTTCTTTTCTTATAAGTGAATGCACATTGTTTCTATCTAGATTGTGTTTTTCAACAAAAGCCTTCTTTTTTAGGATGAAGCATAATGTTTGTTATGTTCTTTCTGTTATCAAATAATGTGTTTCAAGCTGTTGAATGCTATACAGTTGGGAAGGGCTTGAATGAATACATTTTACACATATTTTATAAATATAAATATCATATGCTAACTTGGGGAATAATTTTTTTAAAAGGAGCAACATTTTTCATTATTTTACTGTTTGGCCAAAATCTTATTTCACAACTCTGGAAGAACAAAATGAGGCAGTGGTCCTGAAAAAAGGCAGGGTGAAAGTGCTATTCACTTTGTCATGCATGCCACATAGTTGGCTAAATTAACTCACATGATTGTGCTATCGAATTGCAAAATCTAGACTGGCTAGGTGTTATGCTTGGCAAGCTCATGAAGGTGTAACTTTATGTTATATGAAGATGAATCAGCCATAGAATCACAGTACTTCCCATTAGATTTCTGCTGTCTGAAGGAAGCAGCCATAGAATCACAGAACTAAGTACTTCCCATTAGATTTCTGCTGTCTGAATTCAATAGGCCTAAAGTAATTTTAGTGTCTCCCTCCCCACTATTTCATCCAAGTTGTAATCTTGGATTTGTGTTTTAGTTGCAAAATACTTTCTCAGCTGTCCCCATACATAGGTTTGTAGCCAACATATACTGGTACATATTACACAAACTGACATAAGTTTGACCTAAACATTTCCACACTGCTGGTCAACAATAATTTGTTTAATGCTCTCTCATGGAAAATGCCATATGTGTAGTAAGAAGGCACATCAAAGATTGTTTAACTTCATGCTCTGATGCTCTTTGGCTTTGTGTTGATTGATACATGGAGAGTTCATACAATCTGAAGGAATATAGTTCAAAATAAAGTCACCTCATTCTGCATAACATGTATGTTTCTTAAACCATGGCAGCAGTGATAAAACCTTATCTGACTTCAGTTATAACCATATCATCTGCCTAAAAGGCAGGCTGGTGTTAGATACATCAAATATTTGTTATACTCGTAGTAGGAGTTTTATCTTGGCTTCAACCTGCATTTAGTTGGCAGAAGCATTTCCTCATGAATAAGGAAAAACTGATATATCATGGTAGAATCCATGGATTATTTATACATAGACATTTCAGTAAAGTTGAGGAATCGCAAATAAGTTATGAAGATTTAAAAAACTGTGTCTGTGCACATTTTTAAAGTCCAAGTGGAAGTTAAGAAGCTGGCAATAATTTTGAGTGGTAGGAATGTGTAAAATGCATCATCTTCAGAACCTAGAGAATACAGCACATTATTAAATGTTTAATACTTAAGTGCTTTAAGCAAGAATTTAAATTCAGTGTTGAAGGATTAGAGAGAGGCAACTGCAGGGATTATTAAAAAGTTTGTCCAGATTTGCAATTACATGCTAGACTTCTTTGCTGAACTTTTCAGATAAGTGCAAGTTAATGTTTTAAAAGTTTTTGTAACTGTTTTCAAATTACGAAATAAATTGAAACTATAATTTAAAAATTTCAGAGTAACAAGAATGTGTGGTTTCCAGCCAAATTTTTTCAAGGCTTTCAAGAGGGCATATTGGACTTGGTGTCCCTAAATAAATGAGATACTATACACTGGGATTCTTTCAGGGTGCCAGAAACATATTGCCTCATTTCCCCTAATAATGTAGAATTGAAACTTCATAGGATTAGGTTAAATATATAATGATCCTGTCTTTTAATTTAGGAGTTTTTGGTTAAAATCATATTCAGTGAAATCTTTCACAGAAAAAAAATCATAAATGTCTTTTTAAAAAGTTGATCTGGCTCTAGTTAGTTTTTATAAGAATGCTACTCAACAGTTTGAAATAGACATTGTTTCTTAAATACTATTAAGGTAGTTCACCAGGATGACAGAGCTGTTGTCCACAGGACTACTACGTACAGGACACACAAAAGCACTGTCTGAGAAGCCACCAACGTAAATCATATTCATACTGTAAAACTTACAATATGAGTCATTATATGTATTACTTAAGTTGTGTGAGAAGCACTCGTAGTGTTAACTATGACAGTAAAATATCATATAATGTGACTTAAGAGTGTTTCAGAATATGCATGTCTCAGCTGTCCAGATGACCTAAGAGAAGTAGAGGTCTGAGCAACTTCTCTGCTTTGGACTCCTTTAATTGCTCTATCTATCTGTCTGTCTCTCTGTCGGTTTGCTTACATATCCTTAAACCTTAGTCCAAGATGTACTGTACATAGTCATACCACACCAAGTTAGAGAGGGTACTAGGTTTATCAGGTCTTGGGGCATGAACTGAAATCTCAGGGCACTGTTGTGCTTCACTGGAACTCCAGACAGGAAAACAAATCTAGGAGGAATAGAGTAGGAAGACGTTTCATGTTATTGTGTGTGGTGGCATTCCTGCCTGGGTGCCTGGGATTGTGTGTGTCCTACTTTGGGAACATAATGAGAAGACAGGATTCTTTGGCATAGACTATAATACTGAGAGAGGTCAAAGGCAGCAGGAAAATAGGAAGACCAAATACGAGGTGGATTGACTGCCTAAAGGAATCGCTGGCTTGAGTTTACAACAGCTAAGCAGGGCAGCTGAGGACAGGACATTCTGGAGATTACTTATTTATAGGGTCGCCATAAGTTAGAGGCAACTTGATGGTACATAACAACAGTAGCAGCAGCAGCAGCAACACACTTCCCAAAATACTGGAACAAAATCATGATATACACACCATAAAATATCAAAAACTAAGCTAGACTACCTAATATTTTCTAGCCAGTTTACCTAATCCCTTTTATATATTGAATTAGTTATTCCAAACCTGCCAAAACCAACATCTTAATAACCTTTCATGTTTACTCCAAACAAAAGCAACTTCTTCTTCTTCCTTTCCCATGGCTCTAATTTGCATGGCTCTGAGGAAGGAAGCAGGCTGGCTTTTCAAATCAAGAGTTAAAGTGGAACGTGTTAGATTCCTTTTGGTGTTGCTTCAGTGTGCTCACTCATAAGACATATGTACTGTATTTTTCCATGTATACGACTATACTTTTATCTAAAATCTTTGGACTAAAAATTGAGGGTCGTCTTATACACAGAAGTAAGGGGGAAGGGATCAAATTGCTGCAGGATCAAAGCCCTTTGATCCTCCAGCCCTTTCATGGCTGCTTTCCCCCTCCACTTCCTAAGCCCCACAAGGCTTACTCCTCCACTTCCGCCGCCCTTTGCTTCTGCTTTTGCAGGGCTTAGGAAATGGAGGGGGAAAGCAGCAATCAAATTTTCTTATTTGGGGTTGGAAAAGTGGGGGTCATCTTATACGGAAGGCCGTCTTATACATGGGAAAAAGGTATGTCAGTTCCCTCCCAGCCCTTCTTTGAATTGATCATTAACAGGAGGTCAATTGAAATTGTTAATTGTTTTTTTGTTCACAGCCAATACTGACCTCTGCCTTTTCAACCTGCTTCCTAAGCATTCACAAAAAAGCCTTGAATATTCTACTAGATGGTTTCTATGTTCCATGTTCCCCAATATATCACTTTCTTCACAGCTACCATCTATTACCATGCCGTGAAATCTTAAGGTGGACCCAAGTGGAAACATAACTTTAATAAAATGTATGACTGCAGACAGATTAAATAAGAGATTCTCAATGGATTTGTTCTCTCCTTTTGTGCATTGTATATATCTGTAATTATTTTTAGGAGTAATTCTGAGTGACTCCTGTTCATCAGGTTATCAGATGGTAAAATGTGGTGGCTTCCTCATTTTTAAAATGTGTGTCAACATGCAGCAAGGCAGATAGATGACCATTAGCTCCCTTCTTTTTATCATCAACTACTGGTATGCAGGACCATGCCTGGTTTTGTAGTGTTCTTGTTGTTGCTGCTGCGCTCCTGCCATGAAGTCCATGCTTTATAGCAATATTTTCTTGCTACCACCTTGTTCTTTATTTAAGGAATTAGATGATTCCTTTGTTCACATCCATATATTGTATATAAAATAGACTTCCTATGT